ACTGGAGTGAGAATGTTAGCTTTCAATGACTTCCATTGTCAGAGGTGCAAAAAGTTGGAAGGGAAAGGTTTGTATCTTTTGGTCTCATAAGAATATGGGGGATGAGAGGTACAGACAACAAGCTTTCAGGTAATTAAGTTATTTGAATTCATTAATGACCATCTTTTCCTTCCCTATTTGCAAAACTATCGTGCCTGTTTCAAAGGATAGGAAGGTGGAAGTGTTTCTGTTATTAGTATTAGTGAGTGAGTACTGTACTACCTATAACATGGAATCAGGATGCTTAGAATTGTAGGATTTCCTAACAGCTAGACCATATTGCTGCCTGCTATGAAACAGTTTTTCTCTTAAAAGATTAAACAGACTTTCTTATAGTTATTTTAAGTAAATAACTAATATAAAGCTATTGTTCTGTCCTATGTAACACCATCCTGTTCACGTCATTAGAAAATTTAGTGGTTTTCCATTTAAGAAGGTTATTTCTCCCCCACCCCTGAATGATGCATTTTGCTTCTGCTCTTAAGGTCACTGTTTTGCTTCGTTTTCCTGTGTTGAGTGTTTTGGCCACAGCTTCCAATTCAAATATGAGTGGGAGAAGTTCTCTCCAAAAAGCCTGTTTAAAAAAAATGGTGTGTAAATATGGCATGATGATCTTCACTTCAGCTTTTGTAGGATGTGGAAGATATCAGTAAGGTGTAATTTGTGGTAATTAAAGGCTTATACCACATTGCCTGTATCTTCTCTAGGATTTATTTTTTTTTCAGTTTATGCCATATCTTTTGACCTAGACCCAAGAAGTACTTTGGTTTTGATTTCCTTCACATCAATAATTTAGGTGTACTTGTGCGTTAAGTGCTGCCAAAGCTCGGTAGCCAGATGTAGAACAGAACTTATTTAGATATCCTCTCATTCTCCTGTCTTACAAACATTTCTGTAAGGTTAACCAGAGTAGATTAGAGAATGGATGAAGCCAGCAATATGAAGTTTCTGAGGCAAACTTTCTGCATAAGAAAGTTCAGGAGTCTCAAATAACCAGAAGTGACTGAACCAGGACAACCAACTATGTGTAAATATAGTACAAAACAGCTGAGTTAATGTTGACAACACCCTAAGTTTATTGTTTGTAACAGGAGTTACAAACTCCCTTTTGGGTAGGGAGGAGTTAATTGTGCAGGGTGTGGAGGGACCATGGTTTACAGACTATAAGGATTTGGATACATCTCTTTGCCTTTCCCCATCACTTCCATAGCACCAATATATGTTCAAACTGACTGTAATCATGGGTTCTTCCATTCTTGATTGTAAGTTTACTACTTCAAACACATGGAGATTTGTTGCAGAAGGTCTTTCTTCCTAGCCCTGGAATTCAGCTGTTTGAAGCCCCGCAAGTGTACACCATCAGTTGAATTTTTGTGGCTTTATACACTTGTCAATGACAACAGTATTTTTCCTGCACAGTTGCAGTTTCCTAATCTCAAGACTAAAATGTTATCTAGAAGCTTTGCTAATGTTAACCCCTGCCACCTCCTCTTCTCCAGTTTGAATTCTTTTTTCTGTTGCTTCCAGATTCTAAGGAAAATGGAAGCTGTGAAGCATATCTGTATAATTATCATGATCTTTTCTGCAAGTTCTTGGTTCCACGATAACCAGCAATTATTCTTCTATTCCTGTTGCACACTCAGTGTTAATCCTGACCTGAAAGGACACTTTGGTCTGGGAGCAGATGCCTGTACTTCAACCTTCCATCAGGAAGTTACTAAACTGTAACAGTCTATTTATGGTAGCTCCTTTTGTACTGTTAATAACCCAGCTTGAGCTAAGATTAAGCCATCTCTGATTTTGTTTTGCGTGTGTTTGGTTGTAAAGACAAGTTAGAGCTGATGAAGTCAGCAGAGGGGAAGGACAAAGGAAGTAGAATCTTGATTCCAGTAAGAATTTTCTTTGTCTCTTGAACAATGGGAATCCTTATGAATTCTCTAAAGATGGCTTTCTTATTTATTCAAATGGGAAAAATTTAGGATTGCAGAAACTTCCACAATTTTTTCTCAACTGGGAGGGACAGGGAAGAAGTAACTTTAGCCCACCATTAACTGCACTGGCTGTTTCCTCTTGGCCTTTACACAAGTGGCTGTTACTTGAAAAGGAATTCTGTTGTTTGTTTTTATTTTAAATAGATAATGTTGCTTTGTGTCTGCCTTTTGGACTTCTCATAGTGGATCATTAATTTTTTTAATATTTGTGCTTTATCTTGATATTTTTCTCATAAATTACAATGTCCCCATTTCAGAATTGATTTCACTTTATAGATCAAATCTTGATCTAGTGGTGGCTGAGATCCATGTAAACATTATCTTTTTAGAAGGAAGTGGAATTGAAGCTGCTCTAGCACCTGCTAATGTAGGATGCGACCAGACTTCCTGTTCAAGAGGAAATCCTAATTTACTCTTCCTTGTAAACTGGAGGCTGATCAGCTTACCACATAGTAACCTTTTGACTTGTAAACAGTGTGTTCCTTTGGACTGCTTTTAGCCTCTAGAAATTATTTCCCCTGGGCTTGGTGGTAACTTTAACTGTAAACTTTTTGAGTCTGTTGAATATCATGAAAAAGAAGCAACCCTTTTCTGCTGCACTGCTTTTAATGCAGTCAAGCATACCTGCAAACTGAAGTAGGTACTTAAGATGCCTTCAGGTTCTAAGAAGGTCGCTGTATTTTTCTTTGCACTCTAAACACAAAGAAACTTGTTATCCATTGGGTACGGAAAACAAATTGAGGTATTGTGATTATTTGCTTTGTGATGCAGACTTTCAACCCTTGAAAATGGTTGTTATATGTGGGTGGGGAGTTGGCTCTGGCTAGGATAGTCATGGTGAATCACTGGCAGTAGTGCCAGGTTTGGCATGGATGGAGATCTGGGTTGGGGCCAGTGAAGTGAATTACAGTGCTTTTTTTAATATTTATTGCCAGCCCCTGAAAATATTTCTTCTGTCCTTGGGGAGGAAGGAAGAGATCAAATTTAGCAGGAGCAGTATTTGTTTCCTCTTACTGCTAATACAGCAAAAGAGAGCTGCTTTTGAAACATGTATGTTCTGCAGGCTTCTGGCAGCCTCTGGCCTATGTACACACCTGAGGTTATCCTTAGGGATCCTGCAACTGTGAGGTCTTGAGTGAGGAGCAGATACTGGGCATAAGAACTCCAAGTAGTTTTAGAACTTGATACTGAAAAATTCTCTTGCAAGAATCTGCATCTAGATGCCTCCTGCCTGTGTCAATAGTAGAAACTTAAACCATATGCTGTCAGCATAACCTGTGCTATTCCTTTGAGCACTGAAGCAGCTTACTGAAGTGGTGGAAGTGGATTGATTCACTAAGACTCCTTGCTTATACTTCTTTTCTCTGTCTTTTCACATCACATCCTAAAAACTTAAGAATTTTTTTCAGTTCTTTTATGTTATTCAAGGCATGTTGATAATAGAATGGTGGTGTCTCATTTTTAAAAGTAGTTTTCTTTGTAATGCTTTTTCCCCTAGGCATAAGGGCTGTGTTGGCATGCATGTGCCCCACTCCTATTCAGTCTGCTTTTATGTATCACTTTGCTGCTAGTATGCTCTTAAACTGTCTATAAGAAATACTCTTAGAATAACAAGCAGAACATTTTTTGTTGGCCTGAAAGACCATTGTTTTTTATAAAAAAACTGTGAAATTAATGTTAAAAAACCCATACGTTAGCCTGTGTCCTTTTCTTTTTCTTGCCTTTTTTTTGTAAGTTCAGACTGTAACACTTTTCCTGCAGTATAAACAGTTGTGTTTTTTAGCACAATTCTGTAACAGATAGCATAAAGATACTGGTTTCTGAAGAAGTCTGGTGACAAAATTTCAACTCTTGTTAAAAACAAATTATTAATGGCTTTTGTTTCTGTTCTTTCTCCTTTCTTTAAAGAGCACTTTTTTTCATAATGTCACTGGAGAACACTGGGGCTATAATACAATAAATCTTGTATGAAAGGTTCTCTTGAGAAACTAGGTCCTGGGAAAATTAGAATCACAGAATGGTTAAGGTTGGAAGGGACCTGAAAGATCATCAGATTCCAACCTCCCTGCTATGAGCAGGGACACCTCCCACCAGACCAGGCTGCACAAGCTTCATCCAACCTGGCCTTGAACACCTCCAGGGATGGGCTTCCATAGCCTACCTGAGCAACCTGTTCTAGTACCTTCTGACTCTAATGGTGAAGAGTTTCTTTCTGATGTCTATCCTAAATCTCCCCTTTTTCATTTTTAAACCCATTACCCCTTATCCTGTCACTGCCCTCTCTCATGAAAAGCCACTCCCCAGCTTTCCTGCAGCCCCTTCATGTACTGGAAGGTGCTATAAGGTCTCCCTGGAGCTTTCTTTTCTCCAGGCTGAACAGCCCCAACTCCCTCAGCCTGTCTTCATAGCAGAGGTGGTCCAAGCCTTTGATCATGTTTGTGGCCCTTCTCTGGACCCTCTCCAACAGCTCCATGTCTTTCCTGTGCTGAGGACTCCAGAGCTGCACACAGTAGTCCAGGTGCTAGGTGACCAGGCAGCTGCCTCTCTGGCTGCTCTGGTCTTTCAAGACTGCAACAGTCTGGAGCAAAGTAGCCAATATCTTGAAGTCTGTCTTCATAGAGAGAAAAAAAAAAAAAGCTGTGGTGCTTGATGCCATGAGCCAGCAGCCTGCTTTTAAAAAGTAATTTCAACTTTTGTATGCCAATCACCATTTTTATCTTAGTGTGAGATGATGATGTGAAGATGGGACTTCTTGTGAGACAGGAACTAATTTGTGTACAGCTCTCATCATGCCTATTGCTAAATGTTGTTTGTTGCCATAATATGTAATATGGTTGAGGAAGGTGATCTGTTGCACATTGAACAATTGATCTTGTTCTTGAGAATGGTAAGTATAATGTTCTAAATATCTGTAATGCTGAAAATTAAGCATCATGTTGCTAACTTTTAACATGTGAACTTACATCTTAGGTGTCATTATGGCTGGCAAGGACAGTTCTGTGATGAGTGTGTCCGCTACCCAGGCTGTGCTCATGGGAGCTGTACTGAACCATGGCAGTGTAATTGTGAAACCAACTGGGGTGGCCTGCTCTGTAACAAAGGTACTTAACATTCATGTACAGGAACAATAAGTGAAGTTGCATGATTAACTGATAACTCATTAACCATTTTTTTTTTCTGCTCTTGTGCAACTACCTGAGTATTTCTGTGCCTAATTATTCTATAGCAGATGGTACCTAAGCATCTTAAGTACAGGAATTTTAAGACAAGAGGCTTGAAGTGGTCCTGACTCTTCTAACTCATGCAGTTGGTCTCTTGCTCATCTGAACCTGCTGGGTATAGTGATGGGATGACAGGCTAGCTAATAAAATTTGGGAACGATGTGGGTGAATGGTGTTCAAGCCAGAAAGGCATCTGTATGTCTGGCTAGGTGTTAAAAGGGTGAAATTTGTGTTCCCTGTTGATTGACACTCTTTTCTGTCCAGATCTGAATTACTGTGGAAATCACCATCCCTGCCTGAACGGTGGAACCTGCATGAACACTGAACCAGATGAATATCGCTGCGCTTGCCCAGACGGCTACTCCGGGAAGAACTGTGAAATAGGTACTTCTGGGTGCTTCAGAAATCTGAAACTGTTTCAGGCAGGGCTGGGTTCTAGTGACCTGTGGCATTTTTGTTGTGTGATTTATTGTTGCTTTTTTTCTTTTTCTTTCTTTTTTCAAAGCAGAGAGACCATTTTCTCCTTCCCAAAAGCTACCTTGGTTTCTGAGAGGGAAGGTGTGAATAGTGATGCAGTACAACTTGTCCTTCCAGCTTGAGTGTTTCTTTGGGTGACAGTGGGGATATGCCATCTCCATCTCTCTTGTCTGGTGCCTTAAGCTTACTATCCAAAACTCCACTGAATACAGCAAAAATGTGGCAGTTACCTTTGGATTTAGATAATACTGAGAATATTTCTTCCCTTTGGATTCTTCACTTCCTAAATCCAAACACTCAGTTGGGCTATAGTCTCATGAAAGTGGATTACAGGTGCACCTTTCCCTGTTACCTTTTCCTCTGATACCCGTTTTCCTGAATTTTGGCTTGCTTGCAAATCTGCATCTTATACAAGCTGAGGTCTAGGGAAGGTAGTAATGGTGGGCACATCAGTTTTAACTGCGGTCTGGGTTTTTAGCCCCATTTTTAGCTGCTTGAATATGTCGACTATCATTTTTGGTTAACTGAAACTTGATTTTAAAATTCATCATTTAATATGGTGCTCTTAACACAGTTGGATAAATAGATGCTAACTAATATGAAAATGTGCTCAAGCCCTCCTAAGTAGCAGTCTAAATGAAAAGTTAAATGTCTTTTCTGCTCCTATTTGCAAAATGAAGAGCATTTCAGCTGTACTTCTTCAGAAGTATGTCTTGTCTAGAGTCTCACAGATGTGTCCAGTGTGAAAAAACTTCTTCCTAACTCAGGCACTCGACAAAGATAGTCTAGTGCTTTTATTATGTGTATCTGTTACACGAAGATAAAAAATTTCATGTACTGGAGACACTGTTTTGGTATTTGGAGACTTTTTCTGGCTGTTTTGCCTCTGAAGGTAAAAGGTCAACTGCATAATATCTGTTTCTCTCCTGTTTTACTGTAAAGATTTGATGTTTGGAGGAAAAATGAGAACATTCAGTTTAACTTTTTCACCTGTAGTATTCAGTTGGGTGTTCTGCAGTGACTTTCTTTGCCATGATGCATTGTTAAATCCTTTTTTAAAATGTGATACTCCCAGTCCTCTCACTTTGAATTTTGCTGTTCTTTCACAGTTATAAGTGTAGATGGGAAGAGCTAATTTTTTTCTTTCACTTAACTGTTTGGCCTTAAATTCACTAAACCATTATTAGCTGTAGTTTCACATTTATCAGGGTGTAGATAATCTTAACTTGTAAAAAGTGCTATGTGGTATTCATGATACTATCAAAACTTGAATTTTGCTTCAACTGGTAGAATGTCGTGCAAAACTTTCGCTAAAATTGAAATATTTTCTTAGCTTGCCCTGTAAGTTGTGGAGAAAGCACCTCTGCTCTCTAGGTGAGGAAGCAGTAAAACAGGGAGACATACTGATTATTAGCAGTAGTTTGGTGTGTGAGCTTTAGGTACTAGTACCTAACATCCTAGACAGTGTAAATTCAGTTTGCAAAGTAGATAACATCCCTGAAAGAAAGATTCTAAAATATAAATGCTACAGCAATTGGGAATTCTTAAGTAGTAAGACGATGTTTTCTTCTTTCTAAAAGCTTCTTTGGCTTCTGAGAGGGAAAATATCAGAAGTGATGGCATATTACTTGTCCCTCCTCAACTTGATTGTGGCTTAATGAAACTCCTGCCAGTGTTCCAGCCCTACATGGAGTGGCAACAAGCAGTACTGCCTGTAATTACATAGAGCTCTGTTCTTTGCTGTTTCCAAGGAACAGTATTAGAATGAAGCTAAACAGACCTTTGATACTTAAACTACTACTACTGTTCAGACCTCTGCATATAGTATATTTGTTTTGTCTCACTGAAGAAAGAAAAGAGTGCTGGAGCACTCAGGAGGTGGAAATATGTGGCTGGAAGCCGTAAGTTAATGAGGAACTTCTCTGGCTTCTGGGAAATTGAGATATGAGTGACCTGTCTACCTCCAGACTTTCAGTAGATACAAAGAATTATGAACCTCCATTAAATTCCTGCTTCATTCTCATACTGGGAATCTTAGTCTATGCAGGTGGGAGAGGGAGGATCCAAACTTCTGTACAGGCACCTCTCCACTGCTCGTGCTCTTAGTCACTTATAATCAGAATGCAATTTCTAAGCATATAAGTTCTCTTTAGTTGATATTGGAAGAGTATTTAGCAAGAATTTCTTTGTCTTTCTTCCCAGCGGAGCATGCTTGCGTATCTAACCCCTGTGCTAATGGTGGCATTTGCCATGAAATTTCATCAGGCTTCAAGTGTCACTGCCCATCGGGGTGGAGTGGACCAACATGTGCAATTGGTGGGTATGCATGTACTGAAGGCAGGCCTGTTGGGTTGGAAGGGGCCTGTGCAGCTCACTTGATAATCGTGTTCTGTGGATATGGAATTTATGTTGGTCTTTTACCTGTCTTGTAGCATATGAGTGTTGAGAGCCTTTGCAAAGATAAAGGGAGCCGTGCAGCCAGCAGTATCTGTTGGATGCGTTTGAGACATATAGGTTACCAAAAGCATAGCTGGGCCATATCCAGAGAAATGTCCTGTTGCCAAAAGCTTGTAGGACAATTTCTGACTCTTCAGTTGATCTAAAGTAAAACACAGAATGGATTCGTTATGAGATAAATGTGGACATGAAAGGTTCTCGCCTTAAGGTAGTAGAAGAGTAGATTACTCACTTAAATGCTTGGATGTCTGGTTTAGAAGATGGGAGTGGTTTAAGTGTAGTGTGGTCCTAAGTAATTCATTTCCATGTTGCTTGTAATTTGGAATGCAAGATTTCTATCTAATTTAAGCAGCAGCTATTATCAAGAAATTCTGAGTCAACTTCTGTTATGGTTTAGGAATGTGATTTTCAATGAATGTGTTAGTTGTTGGCAGATGAACTGAATCATCTTGGTGTTTGCAGATAGAGGAGAGAGAAATTCTTGAAGGTGTGAGAAAAACCTAAGTAAAAATTAGGTTAGAAATGTTAGTCTGTTCTGAAACTTATTTGATTTATACATTCTCCCACTTTATCTCAAAATAACTTGAAAAGAAACTTCACAGATTAAGCAAAACTTTAAAGCATGTAATGGAAGGCACACTTTGACTTTCCAGATATCGACGAATGCGCATCTAACCCTTGCGCTCAAGGAGGGACCTGCATTGATGGCATTAATGCCTTTGAGTGTATCTGTCCACAGCAGTGGATTGGAGCAACGTGTCAGCTTGGTGAGTAATTCCCTTTCTAAAGGTTTGAAGACCATTGGAGATTATTCCTCAATAACTGTGTGTGTTTCTGACATGATGTTTATTGAAGATGTGTGTTGCTATTGGTATCTTAGCTCTTCTTTACTAGATCTTACAGCCAAAAGTTTAAAGTGAACCTGTAACTACTTAAGCCCCATTTTAAGCTTACTTAAAATAATTCTTCTAGACTGCCCAATAACTTCTCTGTTTCAAAATACAGCATTGGTGGTGGTAGCTTCTTCTTCATGGTGGCAGAACAGTTGACTATAAGCTTGTTGGAGGCAAGGAAGGGATTTGCCCTGACTAACGTATTACCTGTTTGAGTTTTGGCAAAGGGAAAAGTAAGATAATGAGCATGTGCTGCTGTAGACAAGTGTGCATTAACAACCTATGGTGTGAACATGTTTTTAGTGCCCTACCAATGTAAAATACAAGCTTCTGATGCTTGGATTGCATGAAAACTTTGCTTGGTGCGGTGATAATCTGTTTCTGGGTTTGTTCTTTATTCTCTTCTTTTATCTTCTTTCACAGATGCTAATGAGTGTGAGGGGAAACCCTGTGTTAATGCTTACTCTTGCAAAAATCTCATTGGTGGATATTACTGTGACTGCATTCCAGGATGGACAGGAGTAAATTGTCATATCAGTTAGTATTTATTTAGTATATATGTTGACCACAGGATGCTTTATTCTTTAAAATGATTTAATGATGAATTATAGTATACATATTGTACAAGAAAAAAATACCTGTAGTCAGGATTTTCCTAACTTCCAGCAATGTAAATTGAAAATACTGTTTGAAAATTTATTTAGAAATATAATCGGTAATAAAATGAGCTTAGATGTACACTTAGGTATCTCTAGTAAATCTTTCCCTTCTCACTCAATTCTGATTCTGAACAATGTTATGTACTTAATTTGAAATAGTTTTGGGCTAAAATGTTGTCTATGGAATTAACTGATAGCATTTGATTTAATGTCTGTTACACCGTAATAGAAATATGTAATATGTAGTTTCCTGTTGCGTAGTACTTAAAATAAGAATATTTTAAGACATCAAGCATCCTTGATTTCCATTGAAACACCTAGAAAAATCCTTTCTGACATAGTATGTTCTGCATTTTTGCACTAGACCTGTACTTTACAGCTTCAAGTATAAATTCATATTTATGAATGTATGCATATTTTATCCATAGATATTAATGACTGTCATGGGCAATGTCAACATGGAGGAACTTGTAAGGTAACTCTTGTTTCTTACATGCTATGTTGAAAATACATCTTGTTCTAGCTAGTTATAAATTCTATAGCTTGCAAGTATGGGTTGGTTAAATGAGGTTAAATGTTTAGTGTAGCAATTACAGACTCTTGCTCCTTTTCACAAATTTTATTTGTTGTGCTACTACTGTTGTCATGTACAGGTTTTATCAATAAACAAATCTTTCTACTTCTTGCTTTTTCCCCCCGCTTCTCTGAAGGATGAAGTGAATGGTTATCGCTGCTTATGCCCTCATGGTTTCACAGGGAAAAACTGTGAGACAGAAACAAACGAGTGTGAAAGCAATCCATGCCAAAATGGAGGCCGTTGCAAAGACCTGGTGAATGGATTCATTTGCCTGTGTTCACAGGGCTTCTCAGGAGTCTTCTGTGAGGTGAGGACAGTAGTGACATTACTGCAATACTTCCCATGGATTGAATTCTTGAAAGAAAGATATCTCAGGGTTTAAGCAGGAGTAGCCCAAAGCTAAAGCATTACTAACCTAGCTGTTACTTGATGCTCTGAGTAAGCATTCGTTGTGCAGTGCTGTCATTGTAGCTGTAACACTTGAATCTGCAGCCTGGTAAACTGCAAGTTATTGCACATGAGTGTTCGTTCTCCTAAATGTTTTGAGGCTGTAAGTATTCTTTAACCTTGAAACATTTCCCGTTTTGATTTTTAGAACCTGTGTCTTTTTGTTACACTAAAATGTTGTAGGTCTTCATCCTAATAACTCTGAAGCACCTAATTGAATTACCTTTCAAGTAATTCTGCTCTTGGTAGGAGTACCCATATGATTAGAAGCAGGCAGGTATGCAAGTATTGGCTCTCAGACCTTGAGATCATTGTAGGACCATGTAGTTCTAGTGCTTAAATAAGGGTTCAGATCAGAAATACTAGTGCTAGTGATAATTCATGCAGTACTTTGATAATGAAGATCTACCTCTAGGGAGGACATTAGACTTTCCATGTAAAATTGCCTGAAGGGTTTTTGCTGATAGCCAAATTCATGATAGTGTTATGGTTAGTAAAACAATGCCAACTTGGAATCAGTGGATTAGAATTTTGTTATATTTGCTCCAGAATTTTTTGTAGGAGTCGGTGGAATGATCTCTTAAATGAGGAAGTAATTTTATTCTGTATTATTTGCTTTGTTAAAAAAGCAATGCCCTCCTCTTGTTCAAAATCAAAGGGTTGCAGATACTGACCAGTTTAGTAAGACTGCTGCAGTACCTAATAGCTCATGTACTAGTTCCACAGAAGGATCATAGACTGAGTGCTCTACTCTTGCCTGATTCATACCATACTGTGTAATTAAAGTTTTAGCAAATCTGTTTGAATAATAGGCGTTGTTGGCTGCTTGCCTTGTGTGTTGCAGGAAGTATCTACCATTGATTCCAGATGCTAAAGTACCAGCTACTGAACTTGCATTGGGAAGGGGAAATTTACACTAATGGAAGGAAACAAATGGAGCCATCTGATAGAGGAGATCTGAGAATCTTTCTCAGACCTTAGCTATTTTTTTGTAGTTTGCTTTGAATGTTCCATCTGAGAGTGTGAAAGAGCTTGCTGAAAATCTATTGCAGCTGGAATTGTACATGCTTCTCTGAATGAAATACTTAATACCTTTTGTATTCCTTCTGGTTTGGTTAGCTTTCAATTTTTCTCTTGCTTAGCTACAGAATTACTACAAATAGTGACCAAATCCACTGTCAGACTTAACTTTGTCTGTAAGGTTCAGAAAGCTGTCTTTCTCACAACAGAGATGAGGGAGGGGTAAATGAATATGAGAGGAGGAAAGCATTCCTTAAAAACAAGGGAAACAAGGGAAGATACTAAGATGTAGCAATATCCCTTGTGAGGCCTCTTTGTGAGTTTTGAGGTTAATTTAGGGTATCACCAGTAGGTGATTTGTGTCCATCTAAGATACAGAAGAAGCAGAATTGGTTTGCTACAGTAATTTGTGTTAAAGGTTATGTTATGAAAGGCAAGTGTTCTGCTTTTTGAATCAGATGGTAGGAAGTGTTTAAAATGTACCTAGTATTTCTGTGTGTAATTTGGCATGGTGATAGTATTTGTAAGAATAAGGTCCTGAGCAGCTTGGCCTTACTTTCAGCAAGAGGTGGGAGTAGCTGACCTCTAGAGGTCCCTTCCAAGCTGTGTGGTTCTCTTATAAATTCTGTGTTAATTGAGATGGGAAGATAAGTTGCTCTAGAGAACAGGATTTTTTTTTTTAAGGTTCTGTCTTTTTTAAGTGCAGACACAGAGTTGACAAGTGCACTGGTACTTAACTTGCATTATAGCACTTAGTATGTGGGTGTGAAGGACAGAGAAGTGCCTTAAAATGATCCAGAGTAGTCTCAGTAAGATGTCTCTTAATGGCTTGTTTTTTGCTAATGAAGTTACTGGAAACTTGCTTATTCAGCCTCCTGCAAAGGAGTATCTTTTTAGCAGTATCAAAACTGCGTTGTATTAGGACTAAAGTAACCTGAAACTTCTGTGTAGCAGGATGGTATGTAATATATAGGATTCATAAACCTTCTTTAAACTTGGATTTCCTTGTACATCAGCTTCATCTGTGTCTTTGGCAACACAGATAATGCTTCTTGCTCCTGGGAAATGAAGCAGCTGCTGCTAACTGTGGATTCTCTTACAGATGGATATTGATTTCTGTGAACCTAACCCTTGCCAGAATGGGGCTAAATGCTATGATCTAGGGGGAGATTATTACTGTGCCTGCCCTGATGACTATGATGGAAAGAATTGTTCTCATCTCAAGGACCACTGCAAGAACAATTCTTGTAAAGGTACCTGCTACTGTTCAGAAACTTGTCTTAATGTATTGATGATAAATTAAAAAGGAAGAGTAGTATTTTTGGGAATAACATAATGCAGAAACATTTTTATTGTACTCATGGATTTTTGAAATAGTGAGGTAGTGAGAAGTGCTTGTAATAGTCCTTAACTATATCCTCTGCCCCTTTATATTTAACTTTTCAATTGTGATTAGCCTTAACTTTTGAATAACTACTGATGGGTGTTGCAGATTTAATCTGATGATATACTTCTCACTGTTAGTTATTGACAGCTGTACAATAGAAGTCTTCACTAATGCTACCCAAGAAGGAATCCGTTTCATTTCATCTAATGTTTGTGGGCCTCATGGACGGTGTATCAGTCAACCAGGAGGAAATTTTACTTGTGCCTGTGAAAGAGGTTTTACTGGAACATACTGCCATGAAAGTAAGTGAGAGTTTTTTCTGAATGATGATTTTTCTCCAATACTTCCTTCAAGTTTTTGTTTTGAAGCTTTACAAGGTAAAATCGTAGTATCATTTAGTTTGGAAAAGACCTGTAAGATCATTGCATTCAACCATAAATCTAACACTGCCAAGTCCCCCAAAGCCATGTCTCTGCCAAGTCCCACTAAAACATGTCCCTAAGTGCCACATCAAGGAGGTATTTAAGAAACAAAACATGAAGATTTTAATATAGTTGTGTAGAGCAGTTTCAGGTGTGCTGCTTGAAACCCAGTTTCTTCTGGTAACAGTTGTCTTTGTAGTGGCTCACACTTCCTCTGTGAGAGAACTGATTTTAGTCCAAATTCAATGTGAGTGTGTCACTACATTTACATACAGGCTTACAAGAAGCCATGGATTTTTCCAACATGGGGATGATAAAGAAGGGACCAACACGTTGATAGCACAGTTTAGGACCATATGTATTGCTGTTCCAGGTATTTTTTAAACACCTGGCTATTTTTGCCAGGTAAACTTAATGCTCTGGTTCAACTTGTTACGTGAGAGAGAATACACTTGGAAACCCTACCAGAATCTGTAAATAGTTTAAGCTGTTCTTGTGTGTGTACAAATGGAGTAAAATTTTGTTTCTTTTCCTAGAGACATAAGTGTAGCTCACTCCTCTAGGTAGGTGAAGACAGCCTTGAGCAATAATTGCTGATCCTTTGTTGTAGATATCAATGATTGTCTTGGGAAACCTTGCAAGAATGGTGGGACGTGCATCGATGAAGTTGATTCATTTAGGTGTTTCTGCTCAAGTGGCTGGGAAGGGGAATTGTGTGACACAAGTGAGTACTGCTAAGCATTGTAGTGTTCAGTATTATAGCTTTGCTGTAGCAGTTGGTGATTGAGGGTTGGTGTGTGGTTAGTAATAATGGGGTAGTTTCTCTGTTCTGTAATAACAGTCTACCCAGTGTTGTTTGCAAAATTATTTTCAGAAAGATTTTTGGGTGGCAGCTCTAAGAGGCTCAGTTCCTTTTACAGTACTGCATTCTGATTCATTGGTATAGTACAGGATATATCTTGGGAGAAGAAAATTTCTTTTTCTCCTGAAGAAAGGCACAAGTGAATATACCCTGTTGGGAGAACTACTCATTATATTTCTTTTATTGCTCTAAGCATATGTACTGCTTAGAATTTACTGGGCATGAATGTCTGTACCTCTCCCACTCTAATCATACACAGCAGTTTCCAGACTTGAAAAGCTTTCTGGCTTTAAGCCAGTGCAAGCTATAATGTACTTCCATCTTATTAAAGGAATTTATAAATTTAATATCTGCTCCTTTAGTAAGAAAAGAACTGCTGGAGTCTGAACTCCTACTCAATGAGTATCATGAGTCAATGTTTTGTATGCTTGGTTCACTGTACTTTTGCTATCCTGGCTGGACACATTGGGCCTTGATTGATGAAGAAGTGTAGCAGGCCAGTTCATGGTTAAATTACCTCAAAGGAAGCTGCAGTTGTTTGTTGTTTTTTTCTACTGTGAATGAAGCTACTTCTAAAGTGTGATGGCAGGGACTTGCTGAGACTTACTACAGGACATGCACCAATTGAGATGTGAAATAAAGACTGAAGCTTTTGGCAGGTATCACTGTCAAAAGAGCTTTTTTTGTGGTCTAGATTAAGTTTGGAATAATGATGTTCTACCTATTAAAACATCTGTCTCAAGTGAAAGGAATTCTCTCTAAAATTCATATACGTTTTTATATATGTTTAGAGTGAATATGCATACAAAAATTACAGATATATGTGTGTGTATATATATATATATATGGGTAAACCATCTAATGGCTTTAACTCTCTGTATTTTGATATAAAGCAGGAGAGGGATCCTTAACTGCCTCATGTGGATGTCCTGGGGTGGGACTCCTCAGGACATTGTGGTCCCTCCTAGAAAGTTTCCTCTGAAGTTCAGAATGTAGCTGTTTGCTGAAGAAATGAAACTACTTTGGTGCCCTATTTAGAGTTGACACTCTAAAAGTCCACACTGAATGATGCTTCTGCTATGAAGCTGCCAAAATCTTGCATAGTTTACATTGTTCTGTATTAAATCAGAGGGTTTTTTCTTGTGTATATAAAAATAACCCCTTAGCAATTAGGAGTTCTGTCTTCCTAAATAGTGCAGTTTCTTTCCTTTATAAAGAAGTCTTTTATATTTTCTCGTGGCCTTGCCTAGGCTAGACCATCTAATTTGAAATAATACTTTTTCTAGATTTCAATGACTGTTCTCCTAACCCATGTCACAACGGTGGCCGATGCATTGACTTAGTGAATGACTTCTATTGTGAGTGTAAGAATGACTGGAAAGGCAAAACTTGCCATTCACGTAAGTGCTCTTTACTTTGGTCTTTAGTTTACCCAAAGATTTGTTTCCATTCTTCTCATGAGACTAGAGGTCCTGAAATTTAAAATAAAGAACTGCAGGAAAATAATAGATGTATTTTCTTTACCTCGTCCAGTTGCCCTACTAGAAAATGAAACATCTTAAAAAATGTATTCCTTCATAAGATGTAATAAAATAGTGTCATAAGAGATTAGATTCCACTCGTCTGTTCATTGTAATACAGCAAGTGAAACTGTCTAGTGCTGTGGCTTTTAAATACAAAATCTCTTTAAAAGTAACTTTGTGATGAAAACGTACTTAGTCTTAAAATTCACCAAAAAAAAAAGACCAATGGGAAGTAAAGCTGATGTATTGTGCTGTGTAGGTGAATACCAGTGTGATGCAAATACTTGTAGCAATGGTGGAACATGCTATGACGATGGAGATACATTCCGCTGTTCGTGTCCTCCAGAATGGATAGGAAGTACTTGCAACACTGGTGAGTTTTTTAAGTCGTCTACAGATGAAGCCAGAAGTTAGTAGTAGAGGAGTGTTTAAATAATACTTAACTGCTTAGTAAGTAGGCACACTGTTCTTTTAGCTTGCTAGTTCACAGCTGTTCCAGTTGGCTGGCAACTGAAGCTTAGAGTAATTTCTTCCACTGTCTAGGAGAACATCACCTGACATGATACTGATTTGTAGGAAGTGGGTTTTTTCCCACAGGCTGCTTCTATGGTCTTTGACATAGCTTCTCCTAAACAGATGTGGAACACTTGGACTTGTCTTGTTCTCTGTAGTCTGTAAGAGATCCTGCATAAAGGTTTTTGGGGGAACTTAGTCCTCTTCTTTTCTTCAAGTTCATACTGTGAATAAGTTTGTGCTCTAGAGGGGTTCATGAGGGGACAAATCCAAGAAAAATGAAGTGGTCCTTCCTAGGAGATTTGCAGGGTTACTGCCTGCTGTAGGGACTTGCTCTTGATCTTCTTGCAGATTGAATGTAGTCTCCATGGTACTTTTTTTAAAAAATATGAATCTGCTGTTAGGACCAGGAGGCTGGATGAAGGTAACTTAGTATACTTTTTTCCTACTTTTAGATACAGTTGCAGCATTTAATTAAAATCTGAACTTTAAGTAGTATTATTTTATTAGGAAGTACACCTCACAACCTGGGTAACTTACTGCCAAAGTAGGAATTAAGCAGTATTTGAAGGATGTTGACATGGACAGGGAGAAAAAAAAGATAACATTTTTTATAAAATGTAGTAGTTCAGTCAAACAATTCAATTCGGGTGATGATGAAGGTAGGTGAGATTATCATGTCATGTGCCTGTTTGGAGTCTTTTGGCCTTCTTGTGTAAGTCTTGCTTTGCTGGCTTAAATGCTGTTCAGAATTGTAATTTTTGACATATCTGGTTGATCATTTTTGTTTTCTGTACTAAATAGAGACTTTTTCTGTTTTCAAAGCTAAAAACAGCAGCTGTATCCCAAACCCTTGCATGAATGGTGGAACGTGTGTCGGCAGCGGAGATTCCTTTTCTTGCATCTGCAAAGAAGGGTGGGAAGGACGTACATGCACACAGAGTAAGACTTTTACCTTTCTTTCCCTGCATTCCCCTGGGATATTAGGAGTGTCTGGCACAGAGCTGTTAACCAAAACAAAGCAAGTTTATAGAGTTCATGTGCCAAAATATCTGAATCATTCAGAGTGGGAGGTAGGTAAGGAAGATCATGCCTGAGTAATGAATGGAGAACTTGGCATGCTTCTTTTTGCACCTAGTCTCTACCACAATAAGACTTTCAGCCTTCTGTAGAAAAATAATGTTGAGGAACATGTGCAGGGCAAAAAAAATCCTCACAAAAATACTGATTGGAATGCTGAAAAGTATGTGGAAAGGCAGGCAGTAGTGTATATTCCATCCTTTTCTGAGAGGATAGCAGTTAACTACTTTGACTTATCAATACAGTGAATTGGTTTGGTGCAACAAAGCCTACAAGTTTGATTTTTTTTTTTTCCCAAGGTGTGCCATAGAGAAAAAAATATCTCTGAGCTCTGTGTTTACTCCAAATCTACTGTGAAATTACTGCTTTATTGATGTATGCCTTAATTAGCTGTTTTTAAGCTGCCAGTGCTGGTATTACTGCTGACAAATAATTCTGAGTCGTTTATAAGGGGGAAAGGTTTGTTTAAGAAATCTGGCTAGTTCCATGTATACATAGGAGGTGCCAAAGCAGTAGTAATCCTTTAGAAAGCTTTTAAAGCTTGACTGAATTATTCACTACCAGTGCAACTGATACCCTGTTTTATTTCTGCTATGTTGTCATCATCTGTTTATCAGCCTGTGCTGTTTATACATCAAAAGACACTGAAGTTGTAAAACATTGTTTTTGTCAGCCTATTTGTAAAATTTAACTTAATTCATTGGTCTGTTAGGTTTAGCTAAACCTTTCTTTGCAAATGTGGAAGAAAGTGTTCAATTCTGTGTTGTTTTTCTTGGCATCCATATAAAAAAGAGAATCCCTTGAATTATAATATACATTAGACAATATACCATTAGTTACACTGGTCTGTATTCTTCTGTTTTTATAGATACAAATGACTGCAACCCTCATCCATGGTAAGTGCACACTCCAGTTCTGTACCTGTTGTGAAAACAAAAGTGAGCACAGTAGTATGGATTTCCATTTCAGATTAGGACTAACTCTACTCTAAAATAATTGAACACAGCCTCTGTAAAAAACTTAAAAAGTTTTTGCCTTGCCTTATCTATTCCTTAACAGCAGCAAAGATCACAAAACAATCCTGAGTTGATTCCTATTGAACAGCTAAACATTTTTTTTAGTGTAGTCTTCATGCCAGAAATGACTAGAAAACTGCTGTGATACGAAACTAATCCAACTTGGTAACACTTCAAGTATCTACAGTTGAGTTTTATTATAAAAAATAAGAAAGCAAAACATGTTACTTTACAATAATTTTAGGTACTATAAAATGTCTGGTTAGGTCACATACTATATATAAATGTGTTTTAAAAAACTAATTTTTTTAAGATATAATGGGAGTATTTTAAATTATGCCATAGAATCAGAGTGGTTTGGGTTGGAAGGGATGTTAGAGATTGTTTAGTTCCAACTGCCCTGCATGAGCAAGGACACCTCCCACTAGAAGATCAGGTTGTTCAGAGCCCCATCTGACCTGGTCTTGAACACTTCCAGGGATGAGGCTTGCACAACTTCCCTGGGCAACCTGTGCTGGTGTCTCACCATGCTCACACTAAAGAATTTCTTCCTAATGTCTGACCTAAATCTCCCCTCTTCCAGTTCTGATCCATTACCCCTTGTCCTCTCACTCCAAGCCCTTGTAAAAAGTCCCTTCCCAGCTTTCCTGTAGGGAAACAAATATAAATGTAGAGGTTGATATTTATGTTTGAAGGGGACAAATACTGATATGTGGATGAAGCAGTCTACCTTCTCTTGTCTATTCTGATACAATAACCTCTTCTTCATTAATTAAAAACCTTGCAAAAGCTTGAGCTTTCTCTGTATTCACTTTAGTGCTCTTTTATCTGCTTTTGTAGGATGCTGCTGTTTTAATGGGTGACTTCCTAAGCAATATTGTTTATCTAACAATTTGCTTTCTGTTGATGGGAATAAATCCTACTCCTAAACAGCAGAAGGTTTAATTAACAAAGATATAGAGACCAATGAAACAATGTAGATGGCTTATTAAGTAGGCTAGTATTAGCAAGGACTTTTTAATTCTCCATTGTTGAATTGTGAGAAGGTAATATGAAAAGGATCATAGAAACTGCATTTGAACAAGCTGCATAAGATCTCTGGTTTTTTGCTCATCTTCAGACTAGTGAATCCACCCTGAGGGTGCTTGATTTAATGATAGGTTTATTATTTTTACAGTTACAATGGAGGCATCTGTGTTGATGGTGTGAATTGGTTTCGATGTGAATGTGCACCTGGATTTGCTGGGCCTGACTGCAGAATTAGTAAGTATCTGTATGGGTAAAGACCTGAAAGTTTGTATCTCTCTCATGCACAGATCAGAAAGAATACACTGTGACCCTTTTTGCAATAGACTGGCTGAATTCCAGCTAATGAAGCAGAAGCCCTGTCAGTCAGGCAGGTGCTGAGACCTTGTAAAAAACGGCAACTTTCCTCTTGTTAAATGGAACTGAAATGAGTTGGCTTAAATTAGTCCAAAACTTTGTTTGCTGGATTTTGTCAGACATTTCTGAATGTTCTGGGGTGCTAGCTTCGTAGAAAGCTATTAAGTTTGAGGTATTTTTCTTGATAAGAAGCATGTTAGAGATAACACACATCTAGGTGTTTAACATTTGAAACTGAAATCCACCGAGATGTTGGAAGTGAAGGCAAAAGCATCAGGAGTGCTGGCACATGAGTAACAGAAGTCTGATAAATGTCTTTCAAAGCTATAAAACAAACCTGTTGCACTGCAGCTCTCCTGGTGGTTGGAAACTGAAAAGTAGGAACAAAAGATCATAGGACTGCATTCAAGTGCTGTGGAAGTGTCTTTTTTTTCTTCTTTTTTTAAATGGAATATTACCGTTTAGACTTGAATGTGATGGATACTTTTTTTTACTGTATTTCATTTCTCCCTCTTTGGAAGAGCAGATTCTGAGTCTTCTGTAGCCTTAAGGGTGTTGGACTTGGTCCTTCAGTATGGTGGTGTGTTTTCAAGTTGAGATCTCAACTTCATCCTGGCAGATAATAAATGAGCCAGCAACTCTGGTCTAGGGTGACTGTAGCAGTTGTGGCAGCATCAGCTTAGTGATCTCTGGATATAGAACCAGGGATGGCAGATAATCATGTATCTAGATCCAGACATAAGGTGAGGGCTATTGAAAGCTCCCTTTCCAGACAAGAAATGCAGTGAGGACTATCTGCAGTCAAGGACAAATACTGTGCACTTGTAATGGGACTCCAGACTTCTTTCTTGTTTAGACTTACAAGACAAAAGCAGGAACTGACAAAAAATGCCTTTTATGGGGACACTGATGACAGAAACAGAGTTAACACTCACTTTTTCAGTATATAGAGGCTGGAGAATCTTAAACCAACATAGTGTGAAGAGAGGAAGAAAGTATTTAAGCACTGTAGTAGTTTAGATGCTTCTGTATTTGCATAAAACTTCATCTGAAATCTTAACAGGTTGATTTCTGTTGGCATTGTTCGTAGACTGTTGCATAAGTTAGTACTGATCACTTCCCCAAGATGACAAGTAACAGTTGGCTGTGCATTTGAGTGGACTGTGCTTCCCTGCCTTATTCAATAGATTACTGTGGCTAAGCCTCTGGTCTTTGGAGGTTATTGGTTTCTTTGAGAGGCTTTTGTGCTAAGTGTGTATGTACTATGAATTAATCTACTCACTATTTCAAGGTTACTAAGAAAAGCTACATCAGATCTTAGTTACAAACTAAGTTGTTACCCTTCTTACTTATGGTGAATTATATTGTAGTAAGTCACTCTTCTGGAACATAAATTCTTCATTCAGCTCTTGCACTGTGATAACTTCCTGAAAACATGGGCTTTCCTAGGAAGCCTAAATGTTTGAGATTAATGCCAGAACAGGATGTGGAACTTCAGTTCTATAGCTGAATGTGGAGAAGAAATTAGCACCTTCAGCTGTCTAGCACCTCTGCTCTCAGAGATGAGTCAGCATATGACTTCTGCTTTGATTACCAGAATTTCAATTAGGGTGCAATTATGAGGACTCTGTTAGAGGTTGCAGCTGAAATGGTAGAACTATCCAATTAAGAGGAAAGCCAAACTGTCCTTTGCATGTTATGAAAGCAAGTATCATCAGTTCACATCTCAGTAAATGTTTCATTACAGTGTTCTGTGTCCCTACCATTGAGTGTAACCTGCTTTCTCTCTAGATATTGATGAGTGCCAGTCTTCTCCTTGTGGATATGGTGCCACTTGTATAGATGAAATAAATGGGTATCGATGCACTTGTCCCCCTGGAAGAATTGGTCCTAGGTGCCAAGAAGGTATGTCTATATCTGCTATCAATCTTTACCCAAAAAAGTATAATTCTGTGACATGATGTAGCCACTCCACAGTTAATATACAGTAGTCTGATGTGTAAGGAATAACTGTCTTTTTAATTAAAATTTGTATAGCATCAGTAATGCAGAGGTGAAGTGTCTTGAGTGTCCCTTTTCTTTTCCGTAGTGATTGGAATTGGAAAGCCTTGCTGGCTTAAAGGACTGACCTTCCCCCATGGCAGCAGGTGGGATCAAGAATGTAACAACTGCCACTGTTTGGATGGCCGTATTGACTGCACCAAGGTAGGAATTTTGACCGATGTTCTTAAAGCCTTTTGGCTGAAACAAACTTGCTGTTCTGCATGCACAAGTTAATATTGTTGGTTTTTTTCCATCTAGACACTTGCATACATCTCCCCCAAGCTACCTTTGTTGAAAAGACAAAAGGTGTCTAATGACTTCCTGTAAAAATACTTATTGTCTTTATGATTATAAGGTGCCTACCTGCTAGAACAAGCTCTCGAGAAGCAGGCAGGCACTTTTTGCAGGAAAGGAATTGAATAATGATCCTTAAAAAGATAAATAGATCACTCTGCCAAAGCTTTGCAAACACAGTTTTAGGGCTCCTAATTTTGGGGAACATTAGTTCTTGGGTAAAGGACACATAGGAAGAAAAGTGTTTCCAGTGAGCAATAATAACCTTTTTGTATTGTCCTTCAGTAGGTTTATGGATTGACAAATTGCAACCTTTGTGTATTTATTATGGGCTATATCTTAATGGTCGTGACTTAGAAATCCTAAGACCTAGGCTAAATGCAGCTTGAACATGTTAGTGTATGTGCTCCAAGCCTTTAGGCCCTCCTGAGATAGCATTACTCAGTGGATTTGTGGTACCTGTGCAGCTGTACATAACAGCTGGAGAGAATAAAGATCAGTGCTGCTGTAGGGCTGGGTGGGTGGCTCCAGATGAGCACCAACAGCACTTTCAACATTGCCTCAGCTGAATCTCATGTTTGACTAGAAGCTCCAGTTTAAAAACCTCTGGATCTTACTGTTCTGTCCAGCCTTAATCTTACTTTGTTTAGCTAGGTATGCGGTGTAGGCAGAGAAATAACAAAATTTTGCACTCAGTCATTTAGAATTGCTGTTTTTAGACTCTTTATAGTGTTGCAGTTTCAAGTTTCAGGTGTCTTCATGTACATTAATGTAATTAGAATTTCAGAAATTGTGATGTGCTGTAAATGTAACTGATCCATATGTGGTGTTTGGTTCTTTCATGCATAGTGGAAACATGCATGGCTTTCTTGCTGACAATTGTGCTTTAAGAGATCTGTAAATACCTAAACTAATAGCTGGTGTAGTATTATGAGTATCTTAAATAATGAAATGGAGCTGGTTTTGTAAGCTTGCTGTGTCTTGATAACTTGGAGGTGCCAAAATACTGTTTCATTTTTGGAGAACAGTTGAAGTGACAGTGCTTATCACCAATGTGTATCAGAGCTTAACATCTTCAGCATTCTGTGGCAAGAATCTTGGTATAAGTGTTGAAGAGAAATGAATCCTTGTGGAGGGGCTTCTTTTTCCAGATTACAGAAGCCTAGATGACTAGTTCAAAATAAATCCTCAAACTTCTGTGTAAGTTGGTTAGGGGTGACAAATACTGAAGTCTCTAAAGAGATACATCCTGTCCTGGTGTCCTGGGTAATCTTTGCACAGTTCTTACTGTTTTGTCCATGTAAAATGTTCTTATTTTGTGGAAGAGCAGCTCTATCTGCTACTAGGACTACAGCAGTATTGAAATACATATTAGTATTAGATCATGACAATCTTATGTGAATTGCTTTGTTTGATTTGACACCTAAGAGCAATTAACTGTAACAGTATTTTGTTCTTTTTTTTTATTTCTAGGTCTGGTGTGGGAAAAAACCTTGTCTGTTACACAGACACTGGGATAACTCAAATAACCAGTGTCCCATGGGTCAAGAATGCCAGGAGAAGTATATGAAATGTTTTCAGCCACCCTGCACGGAATGGGGAGAATGCAGTGCCTCTGAACCTCTGCCTGCCAATATCAAGTGTCTGCCCAATTCTGGGTATTTGGATAATGATTGTGCTAGAATTACCTTAATTTTTAATGGAGACAAAATCCCCCAGGTGAGAACAGAATTATTAACTAAGTATGGCAGTATATGTAGGGATATATTCCAGCTTAGATCGTGGAATATTAATGCTTCTAATAGAACTCCTTGCTGTCACAAGCTTGCACATTTTATTCCTAGACTTCTCTGTTGCTATTAACTGTGCTTTGTCTGAAGAGCAGGGCAAAGTTGGGGTTTGCAGTGAATATTTTGTTTTCTTTTTTAAAGCTCAAAGAAATAAATCCTTTTTTACATGTCAAGGTGGGTTCAGACTGTACTGATAGTTGTGCAAGCTCAGTTTCTCACCCTTCATTCCAAAACCCTGTTCCTCACTTTTCTGCCCTTTCTTGTTGCTCTCTTTGCTGCCTTCATCAGATCTCAGTAACTGCAAAAATTCTGAAGATGTTTATTTTTATGTACTACTCTTTACTTGAACTAAAGTCATACAATCTCCCTTGCTTCCAACAGGGCACTACAACTGAAAATATCTGTTCTGAAATTCGGTATTTACCAGCTACAAGAACTGTTTCTAGGGAGAGAACTCTGATAATATTGTGTGATCTGTCCTACTCCACAGAGAATGCAGTGGAAGTTGCTATTGTAAGTATGCGACTTGCATTAATACACATAGGAAAATGTTTTCCTATTAGTTTGGTCTGAGGAAGAGGTTGTTTTAAGCTTGTTTCACTGCAGTCTGTGGTGTAGTCTGACTGAAAAGTGATTTTTGTGATCTCAGTTTCCTGTAATGATAGGTAGCTGAGACTGCAGGTTTCATTAACAGCAGAAGGCTACCACTATCTTCTGATAAATGACTCTAAGGACTAATTCAGCCCAAATTAGTGAACAGGTGTCTTACTTGTCCTGTCGTAAACGTTGGGCTATTGAGCTTCTCGGTGGGGAGATATAGATGCAGGTGTCTGGACTGGCTCTTGTAAAGAGGTTTCTGCTGTACGTTTATAGTACAGGTGCTTCAGGATTTGCATTGAATACATAAGTGCTGAATGGGAAGTGGAAGAACATGCAAGTTGAGTAGGTGAAAGTAATTGTTGCCCTTACTGTGCTAACGACTTGCTTTAGAGGCATTTACAGCCCAGTCAGTTGATGCCTGCATATTACTTAGTTTCCAAGTAGAGAGTTAATTTTCGTAGTAATTAACTTCTGTATTTGCATAAAAAACATATAGTAAAGTCTTTTTCCAGAAAGAAGCTGGACTGTCTGTCTCTACCAGTACCATAAAGACCGTGCTGAGCCATGATGCAAAAAGCAAAGGATATGGTATAAATAGAGCAGACTGTTACTAGTCCAAGCTTCTATCTAGATAATCCACATGTATTGAAGTGCTCCAAATTATGACTAAGTTTAGCTCAGCAGTGTAAGTAACATGGAAGTCATCTGCCTTTTATTTGAGGTATGCTAGATAAGCAAGTAGCAAAATAAGACAAGCAAGACCCACCAAGTCTGACACTGCATCTGCAGTTTGGTAGAGCCAGCCATGCAGTTGCTGCAGGAATCTTTCAGTTTGTAACTACCCTCGGGTAAATTCAACCTAGTGAACTCTTGAGACATAGCTGGATTTAAAGAGTAAATTTCTGTGGTTAGGTGATTGCAATAACTGTGTTTTTCTCTGTCACTCTCTAGTCTTTTGTCCCACATCGAGATGAACAAGACAACAGTCTGATCCAGAATGCTGCCAATATCATAGTAAATGCAATCACGAAGCGGCAAAACAGCACCGTTATGTTGGCAGTAACTGAAGTCAAAGTAGAGACCATAGTTGTTGGGAATTCATCATCAGGTAAGGTTCCCACTGCATATATTATGAGTGTAAGCATTTTTTGTTCCCCTAGTGTCGGTTTCTTCTCCTTCTTTACATCTTGGGGGGAAAAGGTAGGTTGGGTTGTTCCTTTAATTGATATTACTGGCTGAAGAGAAAGTGACTTTATTTTAAAAGCCACAAGAAGATGCACCTGTGTACTAGTTTAAGCTTATCCTCATATCTAGTGTAGTATCCCCACCTGTCTTTGCTGCTTTTTTTACTCTAATTTCCAACCCTATTCTCCAGCCTAAGCATGTGTTTCACAAGATCAAGGGTTCTTCTTATGTATTGTTCAATTCCTTTCTGATTCTCTTATGTTAACCTTAACCCAACCTTATCCCTTGGTGCTGCTGCAGTGTAGAAGCTGAGGCTGTGAGGTATTGAAAATGTGATAGGGAAGGGGGTGACACAGTGTCGTACCATGTCTCTTCTGAAGTGTTTATGTATTATTTCCCTTAACAAGAGTTAAAGATGCCTTTTATTGTCCAATACTTGGCCATGATACTGTAAAACTTTGCTCTCTCTTTCAACATGTGTTTCTCACTAGTATGCAGCTGGCTTAAAATGTGATGTTCATTGCTCTTAATGAGGGCATGATGGGATTGGAGAGACCTCTGTCTCTGTATATTTGCTCTCCAAGGGATATGCCAAAATAAGCAGTTGAAGAGTTTGTATGCCTGTGTTCCTGCCTGGAGGAGACCATAGAAGGTCTTGTGAAAGGCCTCTGGAAGGCTCCAGTTCGACTAAGCCTCAGAGTGAAAATCTTACAATGGCAGGAGACACTCCCAATTTTCACCTAGTCCTCTCCAACATAATCTTCTTGAAAGATCTTCCATCCATAGTCCAAACAATTAGTAAATTGCATGGTTCTCCTTCCCTTGCATTTCCCTTCTAGGGAATGCTTTTCATCTCTTAAAGCCTTGGCAGATACACTATTTCCTCAGCTTCCCTGAAGGAGCATACTGGCTTTGTTCTTGTCTTAAACAGATATTGTGTAGATGATAAAGAACTGAGCTGAGAATTCTGACATACCTCCTCAGCCTCTCTTTGTTCTAATGCTAGGTTTAAAAGGACAGGGATTATCTTGCCTCCCACCTCAGTAAGATTCCAAGGTTCTCTTAGAGAAGCAGATAGACTTTGACTAGGAGACCCAGACTGGGGGTAGGGAGTGGTTTCCAGACTCCCCATTTTAATGTGGATGTTCAGGATTGACCACTGGCCCCTAGTTCTTTAAGTTTAGAGTTGTTAGGAAGTGAACTGTAACCTGGAATCTCATGGTCTTTGATTTGGTTTGTTTTATTGTTACCCTTTAATTAGGTGAAGTAGATGGAAAACTATTACAAAATGTGGTGTGAAGCCATGTGTCTGTGTTGAGAATCTAATTTCTGTGGGATGCTTAAGTGTCTAGATGGAGATGATTATTTAAACACTTCAACTTCCTCTAGCTTTAAGAAAAAATATTCTAAATGTGGAGTCTCTATACAAACAGTTCTCTGTATAAGAGAGAAGTGTATAATTACTTCTATTAAGTAAACTTGGATTGACAGTCATATGATGAAATAATAGATGTGATAGCCATGAGAATGCAAGCTTTGTATTCTAATCTTGGAGAAGCTGGTATGAAGAGCTCCTTTTTCATTGAAGTATTCCTCCTCCTCATTCATGGTTTAGTATTAGATTGCTTATGAGAAATAAGGGGAGAATAGCAGTTACTCCAGACTACAATCCTTCCCCAAACTGCTAAAATACAATTTTTGGATCCCTTGAGGCCAACCATGTTCACAGTTTATTCATCCCCTTTAACCAAAGGAAATGTTTGAGAATGTGTCATCTTCCACATAATATGTTCAGAAGACACTTGAACATGAGAGTTGACGACTGTGGTGTTGAAGCAGTTGGTTGTTTTCATACAGGCATATGCAGGTTAATTTGTAAGTGATTGTCTTAAAACTGCAGTGGGAATTTGTTTGGATCAGAGGTTAGAGTGGTAGATGAACAGCATTCATGTGCAGAGCTTTGGAACAATCCTGCTGTCTGCATAAAGCAGAGCACCTCATGTCTTACTGCTTCTTACCATGTGTGAATTCTTGCTTGTCAAGAAGAGCAGAAAAATGTTGTTCTATCCTAGAAGTAAAGCTCTTGGAGGAGCAGGAAGTCCAAACATACATGAGTTTTCAGGAGTTATTTCCTAGAGAAATAATCTGGGTCTGCGTGGCTGGGCTGGGAGAGCACTAGTGTGGTTTGTGATTGGGAATGTGGAGAAAAGCGGTTGCCTCAACTCCTGTTGCTTAGTCATTGAGCAGTGAATTTTCTGGTGGCAATATTCTGGTTGTTTGAGTCTGAGCAGACCTCAAGCATCCTAAAGAGAGCATGATTGATTTGGTTACATATCTCTAACCTGAATGTTGTGGAGATAGTTGATACATAAATGTCTGTGGACTTGATGGTAAAGGACTCTTCTTTGAGATACTAAACACAGGACACATTTCAGATGTGTCAGTACTTCTAGAGCAACTTAAAGGGACAGGGTTGGATCTAGATGATCTTTAGGGTCCCTTCCAACCCAAACCATTCAATGAAGATGACAATACTCTTTAAATCTGCCTCCTACAAGAATAGATTTTTTTTTTTTTCTTAATCATTATGAGGTTTTCTGGGCCAATTTAGCTTAGGTGCTTGAGAAGAGCAATGCTGCTCATATAACCAGTTTGTTGGAAGGGAAAAGACTTCTCAAATCTAGCATTTCCCCTCCTCACCATTTAGCAGGGAAAACCTCTGGCTCAATCCAGTGAAGTGCATTTCTAGATCGACTGATGTGTTTAGACAGCTGACACTGTGCTGTGCTGACATCTTATTTCCTTTCTCCTAAAAATTTTTCTAGGGCTAACCTTGTCGTGGGCCGGTATTGGGGAGCTACCTGTAGTTCTATTTCTCTTGCAGATGTCCATTGCTATATATTTAGTTTTCTTAACTCAATACTTTTTTCATTTGTCCTCTAGATTATTTGGTTCCAATTCTTTGTGCGGTATTTAGCATTGTCTGGCTGACCTGTATAATCATCTGCGTGTGGTGGACTCGGAAGAGGAGAAAAGAGAGAGAGAGAAGTCGTCCTCCCAGAGAAGAGGGTGCCAATAACCAGTGGGCACCTTTAAATCCCATCAGAAATCCTATAGACAGATCTTACAGTAACAAAGACATTCGCTACGAATGCAAAAACTTCATATCTCCTCAAAAAAGAACTTGTGATGCGGTAGAGGAGTATGTAGAGTATGAGGAAGAGGAGGATGAAGAGGAGGAAAGAGATGAGGAAATGGACAAATTCCTCTCTCACAAACTCGCAAAGCCTTTGCCCACGAAGGCACCTGACACATCAGAGAGCAGTCCAGTAAAGAAATCCCATCAAATAGGCAAAATGGACAACAGATCTGTAAAAAATGTGAATGCATCCAACTTTGAAGGCAGTAGAGACTAAACCTGTATTTGGAATGTGGGCAGACGGTGCCTGCGCTTTCTGGGGAGGGAAAAAGTTGACATCTCCACTTTTGCATCAAGGACTAAAAAATATCTGGAGTCAAATGTTCATAGTTTCTTTATTTTGCGTAAAAAAAATAAATAAAAATAATAATAAATAAAATTTATTTTGTTTCTTTAGCCTTGTATAAATTATTCAATGACTGTCAGATGAAAAAAAAATGAGTAATCTTTGATAGTTGCTATTTTTGTAAAGTTTACTTATAATACACTCGCTGTGTGGCAGAGGAGAGGTATTTTCAATATGTGTAAAGTTTATTACAAAAGACTGTACACTGTTTACAGAATGTATTTCTTTTTATTACTTGCTCTAATTTAATGGTGGCTTTAAAACCTCCTGGTTGAGGAAATTGTGTGAACTTTAAACTGCTTTCTTGACTTTGAATCTCTATTAATGGCAGCTCACTGCACTTGTTACGTTCGTAGCTTCTGTAAGATTTTTTCCAAATTTGCCTTACACACTTTGTAATAGGAACAAAAGAAATAATAATTATAGAGATCTTTCAACTGTGGTTTAAAAGTGGCCTTTTTGTTTCTGTTTGATTACTTTAGAATTGCAGTATTGAAGCATGTGACAAGTGCCTTGAGATTAAACTTTTTCTATAGCAACTGTCAAAGACTGCCATATCAATATAGTAAAATTGTGAGAACTCTAGGTTCCCCAACTGACACAGTTTATTTTCTAATAATGAAAGTGCTTTTTTTGTAAATATGTACATATTAAATGAATCACTCTGTATATTTGATTTAATAACTTAAATATTTTGGTCTTTTTTTTTACATGTCATTCCTTTTAATTTATGTTGCAGAAAAGGAGGTTTTATGGCAGTTTCTAAGACTTTTTTTGGTATTATGTCCAGATTAGAAAAATGATGTTAATACAATCAATGTTAGGAATCTGTTGGTCATTTGTATTTACATAGGAACATAACCACTTACATGTAAATAGATCCAGAACTGTTTGTTTATTCCCATGTTCAGCCCATCTCAAGAACACTAACGGGTGCATCTACTGTACAGTACCAACATAGTGAGGCATTGTTTTTTTCTTCTCTTTTGTGAATATGTTAATTACATGTGGTATTACCTTTTTTTTTTGCGTTTAAATACAGGCCTAATGAAGGGAACAATATTTTCCTCAATCTTGTTTCTGTCGTGCTTTATTCATCTCTCACTCTAAAAGAAAAAAAAAAAATCAAGGCTGGCCAGCTCAGAAGATGGGAGGACCTCATGAGACATGGTTACTTGTAATGGAAGGCTTATGCATTGGCTGTTGTTTGTTGTTTCTTTTTTTAAAGGCTTTATTATTGCTATTAACTGGGCAAACAATAAGTTTATTTTAATTACTGAAGAAGCATTAACACTACATACACCAAGTTACCCTACCAGTGAGAGGAGAGGATGTTTGAGAGTATAAACTCTGGCCCAAGAACAATATAAACAGGAATGTTTGGAAACCAGTTATTTTATACAGGAACGCAGGATTTGCTTTGCAGGATCTTCTGTTTTAGTACATTTTTGTTTGACATGTTCTTAAAAAAAAGAAAAAAACTTTCAGAAAAACTATTTATTAAAGCATTTTATAATGATGTTTGTTGTAACTTTTTTACTTGTGCTAAATATTCAAAACTTATTTTGATAACCTGGTTAGGAGTTAGTTTAGAAAAGGGTACTATCCTTCTCATGTTCCCCAGTATAATCCTGAGTATTTAAACCAAAAACACTTTTTTTTTCTGCTACTCTTGTAACTTTTTGTACTGTAATGCTGCTGTCTTCCATAATCTAATAAAATGATTCCCTCATTGTGTGTAAGATACTTCAGATTGTCTTTGCTTTCTGAGGGCTTGGAGTCCTGATGTGCTGAGCCTAAAGGAAGGAGGAGATTTTAATACACGGTGCAGCCTGTGTCCAGGTGCTGGTACTTCCTGAGCCAACGTGGCAGTGTTGTCCTCTGCCCACCACTGACCCTGTGTGCAGGAGTTGCTATCCCAGATGTGCTCTAGAGGCACAGACACCTTCAGTACCTGCCTCTCTGCAAAGTGCAGAGGCTGGGTTTAGCTGCCACTGACCCTGCTGCCGTGGCTTCTGACATGGCTCTTCTCCCAGCTGCTGAGCAAGGGCTTGTCTAAGCAGTATTGTTTGGCTTCCTTGGGTGATGAGAGGGCTGTTTGAGCATGCTGGGCCTTGAGGTATTATTCTTGCCAAATAGAGCTGGATTTTTAAGTAATACCTTTCTCTTCTGTTCTGCAGCCATTCAGACCTTTTACTTGTCATGCTCCAATTTCAGTTGAATTTCAGTTTTGTATGTAGGTCTATCCTTGTTTCTTAGTGTGACTTGAATGGCTTTTCTGTGGAATATAGGCTGTAGTGAAAATGGAACTCATAAAATAACATGGAATATAAAAATTGAGATTTCCTAGTAGCCCTCAACCTCCAAAGCAGATTTTTTTTTCTTTTTATTCCTGTTATCATTAAATTACTTTGTTAATATTGTTCTTGGAGTATTGGTTTGTCTTTATGTTGATAAGTGAGAGCTGCCAAGTCAGTTCTTAAAATCAAATTGTTACTTTGGTTTCCCCTTTTCAAAAATGTCTCCTATCCTTGAAGAAAGGCTGATGGGGGAGGAAAAATCCAAAGCTGAGGCAGGGAACCAACACTGTTTTCAATGCTGACTTTCTAAATCTACCCTATGGTGCCTTGGGAAAACTTAGTGGCTGCCATTAGCCACTCCTCAGCAATGGTGGGATCAATGCTATAACCATTCAGGGCAGTGCCAGGTTTGAAAAATGGCTTTTTGTAAGATGCACTGCTCTCTGATGCTGCAGTATTTGTGAGTACCTGCTGCAGAGAGCAATTTCTGATCCTCACCGTGTACTTAAAATAGCTGAGTGAAGGCTCCTGGTTGGATGGTTTACATAAACACAAATAAATGTAGTAGGTGTTGCTGCTGTAGGCAAAAGGAGAAGTAATAGATTTTTATACACTTACAGAAAAAGGCTGCTGCTGTTCTGTTGTGCAGCAGTGAGTTGGCTCACAGCTCCTGAAGGTGCTTGTTGTTCTTTATTTTATTGAAACAGTATCTGAAGTAATGGGGTCACAACAGTGGTCGTCACCCACTCTTCCAAGCAAAGGCTCAGAGCCTTCCCTAATGGCTGATTCTGTGTCCAGGAGTTGTTCCTCTGTGGATTCACAAAACCAGCATGGACAGGCATTCATCTTAGTAGTGATGTTTGCCTGCTAGAAACCATTATTCTATGCCACCATCATGTGTTGGCCAAGGACAAGTTACATAGGCTGAGATACGTGAAACCAGATGATGGAAAGAAGAGGATAAACAAAAAATAAACTTTTTGACTTGCATGGTTTAACCTTGATATGTTTCATGCCAATTTTATTTCTGTGTTACTCTTAAATTAATTGCATGTCTTCTCTGCTTGCTCCACATCAACTTTATCATTAGTTTTGTTTCCTTTTAACGTATTTTTATATGAAATGTTGAACTCTTACATCTCTGCTTCTTGCTGGTGCGTAACTGCCAAGGGTTAGGCTGCTTCCAGAATTGTATCTCTTCCAGTAACTATGTAATTAGAAATATTAGGAAGAGGACTTTTCCTTGAGTCTTTTTCTAAGCAATGGGTAGTTCCAGAGCAATTTTTCTTCTTTGCTTTTGTGAGGTTTATTCATCATATAATGACTCCTTCTTGATAACCAACTGCTTGGATGGGAAGTTGGTTCATACAGCAAAAATGAATAGGTGCTGCCCAATACTGCTCTCCAGGAACAACCTAAAATTTGACATGCGTTTTAGCCACTGCCTTGAAAGCTGCAGAGGATGCTAGTTTCAGTGCTAATTGGGAGGTATCTTGGCCAATGAGGGATTGGGGTAACATGGGATTAACTTGCACAGGAATTTGGGTTGGTTCAGTTCAGCTACACGTGATCGCTCCATGTCAATGCACTTGATGGGCTATCATAGTTGTTCAGATTTAACAGGGAAAGAATGAGCCTGAAGAAGAGTTCAAGCATCCCTTCTGTTAGCCCTCCAAAGGTCATAGCTAGATCATCTGACTGTGAGCAAGGAGGGTAGAAGCTGGCATTGATTTCTCCCCCTTCTCAACAATAAATCTGCATTTCAGTCACTTTTGGTAGAAATCTTGCTTTGGAAAAATTGTGAATCTCACACTTGTTCTGTTCAATGTGGCAAAGCAATCCCTAACTAGCCTCTTGTGCTTATTTAATCACAGATGGTGGAATAAAGAATGGGCTTCTATAGCAGTAAAGGAACAAAAAGTTCCCTTGGGAATGAGATATGACTAAATCCTTCCCGTGTTCATCCCTGCAGCAGCCATTCTCATGCATGCAACGTTTCTGTATGGATAAATGAAACCCTTTGCTTTTGTTCTCGGTACAAATGATTTTGTTTTTCAGCACCACGGGACTTAGACTAAGGGCAAAAGTCCCTCTTCAATTACTTGGTTGTAAATATCTGCTTCAAATCAAAAGTTTATAAATTAGTATCATAGGTAGTAGTCTTAAATAGAATGCCTTTTTTTTTTTAAGCAGGCATCACTAAGTTTCCTGGTTCATTGGGTTACTTTTCCCCTTGCAAAATCCAGTAAATTCTGGGTGGTTTATGGGAATCTCTGTATATGACTTCCAGAGGAAGAAGAAACAGCCATTGTACAGCCTGGTATTCATAGCACCAAGTCAGTCTTCACAGTGAAGCTGGACTGGGATCCAACTCTCCTACTATTGAAGAGGAAAAACAAAAATGGTCCTCAAAATTAACAATCCAGATGATCTGCAAAGAATTGGCACGCTTTGCACAAGGCATGTAACTTCACAAAGACTGATCAATTCTTGCAGACAAGTTCCACAGTTCATACCTCTACCTTGTTCTGCAGCTCTGCAGCTGGAGCACATCCTTCTCCAAGAGTGCTTCACCAGGACTTTATGAAAGAAGTGAAAAATCACCTGATCTTTAGACACTCAGAGGAGGAATTTTAGTTAATTTCTTTCTCTAGTAACAAAGCTGCTTCAAATGTTTCTAGATGGGAAAAAAAAACAAACCCAAACAAGCAAACATGGAAACTTTAAACAGGCAGTGTTTCAGAGGTGTTATGCTTTTGTTCATTTTATTGATACTCCATTCATAGTACTCTTTATGACCAGACACAAAGAATTTGTACTTTTATAAAAATCAAAGATTTTTTATATTTTTCAGTGGTGGTTAAGGCAGAAGGGTCACTTTGCAGGTGTAAATGTGACAATCCTGTAACGACGCAAGACCATGACTAGTGAGTCAC